GAGCCAAGACAGCCTCCCAACAAGCCTTTAGTATCTCACTTTTTCCTCAGTTTATTAATCCTGCACCTACAACCTTTCAAAACACTGATGTTCACCTCATTAATGCTGAACCTACAGCCTCCCAAAACACTAATGATACTGAACCTATAGCCTCCCAAAACACTAATGATACTAAACCTACAGTCTCTAAAAACATTGATGATATTGACCCTACAGCCTCCCAAAACACTAATGCTCTTCAGCCACTATCTCAACATACCATTGCTCTTATCATTTCAAAACCTGCTCCTCCACCACCTGCTCATTCAGAACCTTCCAAAGTTTAATGCTTTAATGACCAATGACACTTGGGTATTAGTTCCTAAAACATCAGATATGAATATTGTTGGCAACTAATGGGTCTTTAGAACCAAGTTTCATGCTTATGGGAGTTCACAAAAATATAAGGCTAGATTAGTAGCCAAAGGATTCCAACAAACTCCAGGATTTGATTACTTTGAATCCTTCAGCCCTGTTATCAAACCCTCAACTATCCGCATTATTTTTTCTCTTGTTCTCTCCAAAGGATGGGATATACAGCAAATTGATATCAATAATGTCTTCCTCAATGGGACTCTAAGTGAAATAGTTTTTATGAAACAACCTGAAGGTTTTGAGAGTTTTCAGTATCCCTTTCATGTGTGCAAGCTGATAAAGGCTCTTTATGGTCTTAAACAAGCCCTAAGGGCCTGGTTTGACAAACTTAAGCAAGCCTTGCTGGACAGAAAATTTGTGAACTCAATTTCTGACTCAAGTTTGTTCATCTACAAGGATAACTCTCAGGTGTTGTAGGTCCTTATTTATGTGGATGACATACTTGTTACTGGTTCAAACACATCATCAATTCAGCAACTTATTAAAGGATTGAATCACCAGTTTGCATTAAAATGTCTTGGATCAGTTTCTTATTTCTTGGGATTGGACGCAACAAGAAATTAAGAAGGGCTTCACCTAAAACAAACTAAATATATCACTGATCTTCTTGTTAAAACAAAAATGCAGGATGCTCATTCTTGTCCAACCCCTATGGCTATTGGAAACAAGTTGTTTATAGGTGACAGTGAGTTATTTCTGGATCCTAGTCTCTATAGAAGCACCATCGGAGCTTTACAATATTTGACTTTAACTCGGCCGGACATAAGCTTTACGGTAAATAAGCTTAGTCAATACCTTCAAGAACCTTCTGAACTTCAGTGGCAAGCATGTAAAAGAGTGCTAAGATACATCAAAGGCACTCATTTTCATGGGTTACAATTCAGACCAGTTGCTTCTATAAGTATAGAGTGCTATGCCAATGCTGATTGGGGAAGTAACTTAGATGACCGGAGATCTACAAGTGGGTACTGTGTTTTCTTAGGTCCCAACCTGATTCAATGGAGTTCTCGAAAGCAAAAAGTGGTGGCTTTATCCTCAACAGAAGCCGAGTACAGAGCACTTGCACACACAGCTACTGAACTGGCTTGGTTGGATAGCTTGTTTTCTGAGTTAGGAGTTGTCTGGAGCTCTTCACCAGTAATCTGGTGTGATAACATCAGTGTTGGAGCATTGGCAGCCAATCCTGTTTTTCATGCACGCACAAAGCATATTGAGATTGATGCTCACTACATAAGGGATCAAGTGCTAGCTAAGAAACTTTTGGTGCAATATGTGCCTTCAAAACTTCAGATTGCTGACATTTTAACCAAGCCACTATTTGCTGCTCAATTTCAAGAATTGAAAATGAAATTAAATGTGGCAGAGATAAATATGGTCAGATCAGTAGAAGAAAGAAAGAATTAACTACATTATGTTAAGTTTCAGAGTTGGCAGTTCAGAAGTGTTGTTGCTTTGTTTGCTGTTGAAGGGTTGGTTGATTGGTGAATGCAGAATTGTTTGCTGTGCAGAATTGTAGAATTGTTTGTTTGCTATTGAAGGGTTGATTGATTGGTGAATGCAGAATTGTTTGCTGTGCATAATTGTAGAATTATTTGTCTACTGTTGAAGGGTTAATTGATTGGTGAATGCAGAATTGTTTGCTGCGCAGAAATGTAGAATTGTTTGTTTACTGTTGAAGGGTTGACTGATTGGTTAATACAGAATTAGTTGCTGTGCAGAATTGTAGAATTGGCTGCTATTGAAATGCAGAATTGTTTGCACAAATTGCAGAATTGTTTGTTGTTGAAATGCAGAATTATCTGCACAAAGTGCAGAATTGGCTACTGTTGAAATGCAGAATTGTCTACACAAATTGCAGAATCTTCTTGCTGCTGAATTATAGAGTTATCTACACAAAGTACATAATTGGCTGTTGTTGAAATGCAGAGTTGCTTGCACAAATTGCAGAATCTTCTTGTTGTTGAATTGCAGAATTATCTGCACAAAGTGCAGAATTGGCTGTTGTTGAAATGCAGAGTCATAATTTTTTTTTGTCGGTGAAAAGCAGAAATACAAAATTGTTTGGAGAATTGCAGAATCTGCTTGCTGTCCAGAATTTTTTGCTGTTCAGAATTGTTTTTCATCTGTCCATAATTGTTTTGCAGAATTGTTTTGCAGCTTTGCAAGAGTTGAGATTAATCCAAGAAGAGATAGTATGAATTGAGGGGGAATGTTAGCCACAAAATGATCAGAATTGTGTTGTAGTTTTGCAAGAGCTGAGATTAATCCAAGAAGAGATAGTATGGTTTAAGGGGAAATGTTAGAAAAAGGTCATTTATGTAATTGCAGCACTTTGTTTCAAAGTGGTGTCGTTTTGGTTTACTGTCACTATTTACCTTTACTAAAGTACCTTTACTAAAGTTCAGCTTCAGCTCAGATCTCTTTCTCTTAATATAAAAGAGAAGCTAATCTCTTGTACAGTTATCAGTCGTATATACCAGATCTGCAGATTCTTCAAAGTTCTTTTTTATTCTTTCTTTCTTCATTCTTTGAAACTTTCAGATATGGTTCGTACTTTGCATGATCTCATGTGAGAGTTTTTGGGTGTGATGCATATGTCCATGTACCAAAAGAAAAGAGAAACAGGCTGGACAGTAAAACTACAAAATGTATCTTCATCGGGTATAAAGATGGGGTCAAAGGGTACAAGTTGTGGAATCCAGAAACCAAGAGTGTTGTGTATAGCAGAGATGTGCTATTCAAAGAACTTAGTCAAGACAATTATGTTCATGAGTCTGAGCAACAAGAGATAGTTCAGTTTGAGTTGTCAAAGACCAACCATAGTGCAACACAAGAAGAGTACGATTTCGATTCTGACAATGGTGAAATTGAAGCTCAACAATTTGATGAAGATGTTAAGGATGAAGTGGCATAGTCTGATTCAAAAAATGATATCCCACCTGAGCCAATTCTGAGAAGATCTACAAGAACTAGGAAGCCACATAAGTGATTCACACTTTCTACATACTCTGAAAATTCAACTAGTGATGATCCTAGTGCCATTAATGAGGCAAGAAGACGGGATGATCCAATTGAGTGGGAGAAAGCACTAGAAAAGGAAATGAGTTCTTTGCATCGCAATAAAACTTAGGATTTGGTTTAATTGCCTAAGGATAGAAATGCAATTGGTTGCAAGTGGATATTGAAGAGGAAGTTTAATGCAAATGAAATGTGGAAAAATACAATGCCAGTTTGGTTACAAATGGATACTCACAAATAGAGAGAGTTGATTATGGTGAGGTTTTTTCTCCGATGGCTAAATTAAACTCCATCAGTTGCGTGTTGTCTATTGTTGTTGCCTATGATTTGGAAATTAATCAACTAAATGTGAAGACAATTCTTCTGCATGGAGATTTGGAGGAAGAAATATTTATAAAGCAACCCAAAGGCTTTCAAGGGAAGGGTAAGGAAGAGTATGCGTATAAATTAAAAAAAAAAAAAAAAAATTGTATGGCTTAAAACAATCACCACGAATGTAATATCAGAAGTTTGACACATATGTTCTTCAGATTGGTTCCTCACGCTACAATGTTAGTCACTGCACATCCATAAAAGGTTGAACTCTAAATTCATTATTTTGACCATATATGTTGATGTGTTAATTGGTAATAGTAGGAAGATGATTGGCGTTGTGAAGCAATCGTAGGCTAAACCATTTTACATGAAAGACTTTGGGCCAACAAACGTTATTTGGGGGATACAAATAAAAAGGCATCGTGAGAAACGAAAGTTGTGGTTAAGTGAAAGATGTTGGAATTGTCGACTACTTCAGCATTAATGGGTAACGGAGACGCACTCGGGGGTCCCGCTGCCCGGTCAGCGGGCGGGTGCCCCGCTCCCCAGTGAGCAGGCGGGGGTCGCGGGGACAGCGCCCCCGAGCCCGTAGGCGGTTTTGGGCTTTTCCATGTATAACCACTGTAGGATTCCTTTTAAGTTATTAATTCCTTTTTGGGTTGGGCTTAGGAATAGAAATTCTTGTAAAACTAGGTTTAATCCCTTAAACCTAGTATATAAACATACTTTTCTCTTGTTATGGGTGTGAGAACAATTCATTCATTGTAAATGAGAGAGGTGAGGCATATTGCAATAATATTGACTCAACTGGACGTAGCCTACATTGGATGAACCAGGATAAATCGCACGTATTACTTTCTTTGTTTACTGTTTGTTTTGTTTAACTATTATTATTTTGTTCCTGTTGCTTCTCTATTTCGTTCAAAAGAGAGTACATTGAGAAAATATTGAGAATTCAACATGACAGAATGCAAGTCTGTGAAAGTTCCTTTCTCTAAAACTTCAGAAATAATAAAAAATTTCTTATTATATTATTCTATACAGATTATTGTAAGACTAAAAACTTGTCATCATAGATAATTTTTATTATTAATATAAAAATAGTAAAATGTCTGACATTTAAATATATCTGAAGGGATTGTTATCGTAAACCCTATTATGAGAATATTAGATGAATGAGAAAATTGTATACAATTGTATCCCAAAAATGCAGATTTTCTTAAACTAATCAATAATAAACAAAATACATAGTAAAATCTTTTTATTAATATGATTGGTTTATGTTAACATCTACTATTATTATTTTCAATATCAGACTTAGGATTCCAAAGGCAATTACAACTCAACAAATCCTTGAACAAACACCAGAATTAACCCAACAAAAGATTAAACGGAATCATTCCAAACAAAATCAAGCAATTGAAGTTCAAAACAAAAGAGAAAACTTCATCACTCTACATTGCAGCCTTGGTGGCCTTAATATCTTCACCAGAAGAAGAACTCTTTTCAGCAATGTTAATAACCTTCGGCTGCCTCTCCTTCTCCTCGGCAAGCTTCGGCACAGAGATCCTCAACACTCCATCTTCAAGATGAGCTTTAACATGCTCCAAATCCGCATTCACCGGCAGCCTAAACTGCCTCCAGAACTTCCTACTAGTCCTCTCAGCTCGGTGCCATTTCTCGCCCTCAACTTCCTCTTCACTCTTCCTCTCCCCGCTCACTCTCAGAACCCCGTTCTCCTCCACTTTGATCTTGATGTCCTCCTTCTTCATCCCCGGAATGTCGAGCGTGATCACATGGGCCGACGCCATCTCCTTCCAGTCGGCTCTTGCCAATGCCAGAGTTGTCTCCATGCCTTTTGAAATTGTTACGGGGGTCTGTTCCAGGATCCTGAAAGGGTTTTCTGTTGGTAGCATCATGTCAAAGAGAAAAGGCCTTCTGTATGGGATTAAAGCATTGGCTTGTGTTGCCATGAAGATGATTGCCAGCATGAGGAGGATTCTTGGGTTCGCCATTTTGCTTTGCTCTGAGATTGTGAGGTGATTATCGATGTGATTTGTTTGATATTTTTTATGATGGGAACGGAGGGAGGTGAAGTGGGTATTTATAGGTTTGATGGGGGATTCTCTGGATTGTTCTTGAGAGGTGTTTGGGAAGAAAGTGAGAGAAAATTCTAGGAGGGTTGAGAGACATGTTGGGTTGATGGGTTGCATGAATTGAAAGAGAACGTTTTCTGGAATGTTCTGGAGAAAACGTTTCATGGGTTGAAGATTTTAGTTTAAAGTGGACATGTCCTGTGGGCTTTTCAGGGATCAATATTGGCTACATAAATTTGATGGGCCAAAATCCAGTTAGTATTAGCCACTATTTTTATAATTTACCAAAAAAAAATTTCTAATAGGATTATGGAATAACAAAAAAATCCCTCTTATCACTAAATTTTAACGATAATTAAATGAGTTGATAAGTATTTGTTAACTTATAATAATGTAAATTCTAACAATTTATTTGTGATTCACTAACGGGAAAGATTTTATGTTATTTCAAAAACTCCAAAAAAAATTTTGTTATTACATCAAACCAGAGGGTCTATGTTTTAGGGTTTAAGGGCTCATGTTTTACATAAACTTAGTTTTCAATGCAAAAAAAATAAAAATAACTGAATTTTTGTTATTTAATATTAGCTGACTTCAATAAAATGTTTATCACCACAATCTAACGAGATCCTCCTTTAAAAAAACATAAAAATCTTCCTACTAGAGAGGATTATCTAATTTATAACCAGTAGTGTTTTAGTTATGTGACAAAGTTACTTTAAAAACCATTACCAAACAATCAGGGACGTAATCTTCCTGCTTGAGAGGATTATCTAATCTATAACTAGTAGTATTTTAGTTATGTGATAAAATTACTTTAAAAACATTACCAAACAATCAGGGAGGTAACCATTACCAAACAATCAGGCACGTAGCTAGGATTCTGAGTTAGTGGGTTCAAAATATCAAAGTTGTTAAATTTACAATAAAATATATGTTGTAGTAAGAAGCATAAAAAATGTACTTTTAAAAGTTATATATACCAAATTATCAATTTTACAATTATCTTTGACGATTTTTCATATTCTGAAAATGTTGCATAATTGTTTCATTGACAATTCCATTGAATATCTCTTTCTCAATATATGTAATAAAACAATAATTTAACAATTGATCTCTCATTTGATTCTGTAGTCGATTTTTCACAATCTTCATCGCAGAAAATGTTTTTTCAACCCTTATAGTTGTAATAGATAATATCAATACTAATTTCACAAGTAAATAAACCAAGTGATATACCATGTTCTTCTTTATTTGAACCAACTTTTTAACAAGAGCATCAATTTAATGTCAAAAAATCATTATAAGATCGCATATCAAGAATATAAATATCCAACCACTACAACAAAATTATTCTACATAAAAGTGCTACCGTAGATAAACGGTAGCATTTTTGAGCATGTTGTTACAGCCTGTGTTTCTAAAAAAATGAGGTTTTGATAACACTTTTTGTATATTATTAATAATTATTTAAATTTTATTGTTGAGTATATTATAGTACTTGTTTGTAGTTACAGATGATTTTAACTGAAACTTTGTAAATGCTATAAATTAGTTTTTTTTTTTTTTTTTTTTTTTTTGTAATATTCTTAAACTATAATAGCTTACTTTTTTTGTAACATTCTTAAAATGTCAAAGATTTATAATCTATAACATTTTTAAATTGCTATAGAATAATTATCAGTAAAAATATAATATGAGAAAATGAGAAGAGTGAAGTTTGATTTCTATAGAAACTTGGAGCCTGCTTTACTCCTTTGTCAAGTAAGAAATTGGTGTTCAATTGTTTACTAATGGTAAATGATAATATTGAAATCAAAACAGATTTATTATGTTTAAAAGTCTCCAAAGAAACTGTAGGACAACCATCAACATCAAAATCAGGATTACAGATTAAAGAAACTGAAGAAGCATTTATTAATGAAATTTCTAGAATTCAATTTTAAAAATGGCATGTTTATATTAGGATCAATATTAATCATGAGTTTGATATTATTACACAAGCCCTAGTAGACACTGGAGCAGATCAAAACTGTATAAGAGAAGGATTAATTCTAACAAAATATTATGAGAAGACAAAAGAAAGATTATATGGAGCAAATGGTCAACAATTAAACATTAATTATAAATTATCTAATGCTCATATTTGTATACAAAATTTTTGTATTAAAAGTACCTTTATTTTAGCAAAAGATTTAGATTAAGACGTTATATTAGGTACACCTTTTATCACTCAAATTTATCCTTTCAGTGTAACCAATAAGGGAATTACAACAAATATTTTAGGAATGTTAGTCTCAGGATTTACAGGAATGTTAAAAAATTGGTGGGATAATGATTTACCAGAAGAACATAAACATCACATATTACACGCAGCAAAAAAGACTAGGAAAGTCAAAGTAGAAAGTACTAGGCAAGTAGAGTATGAACATGAAGAAGGATAATTAAGTAATGTTTATAATACAATATTAAATTATAGATTTCTTACTTATCAAGATAATTAAGTAATTCTTATCATTTAATTATCTTGATAAGTAAGAAATCTATAATTTAATATTTAATTAATTAAAATATTAAATTATAGATTTATAGTATGATCACTTAATTTTTTATAGCATTACATTATGGTATGATCACATAATTAATTATAACATTACATAATTAAATAATTACTTAATTGATTATGACATTATATTATAAACATTAATAATTTACTACATAAACATTAGCACAATACTTAATTAAATGATTAGAAATGTAATTAATTATAACATATTAACATTACATTATAAATTTATAGTATGATTACTTAATAAATTGTAACATTATATTATAAACAAATGATTACTTAATTAAATTATTACGTAATTAATTATAACATTATTACATTGCATTATATTATGATTACTTAATTAATTATAGTATTACATAGTTAAATTATTATTTAATTGGTTATAAATTTATAACATTACATTATAAACATTAGCAATTTATTATATTATTACATTACTTAATTAAATGATTAAAAATTTAATTAATTATAACATTACATTATAGATTTATGGTATGATTACTTAATCAATTATAACATTTCATTATAAACATTAGTATATTAATTAAATAATTAAAAAATTACTTAATTACAATATTAAATTATAGATTTATAGTATGATTACTTAATTCATTATAATATTACATTATAATATGATCACATAATTAATTATAATATTATATAATTAAATGATTACTTAATTGATTATGACATTATATTATAAACATTAGTAATTTACGCAATACTTAATTAAATGATTAGAATTTTAATTAATTATAATATTACATTATAAATTTATAGTATGATTACTTAATTAATTATAACATTGTATTATAAACATTAGTACAATATTAATTAAATGATTAGAAATTTAATTAATTATAATATTACATTATAGTTAAATAGTATATTACTTAATTAATTATAACATTATAATTTACATTGTAGTATGATTACTTAATTAATTATAATATTACATAATTAAATGATCTTAATTAATTATGACATTACATTATAAACATTAGACCTTAGTAATTAATTAAATGATTAGAAATTTAATTGATTATAACATTACATTAGTGTTAAATAATTACTTAATTAATTATAACTTTACATTATAGTATGATTACTTAATTATGTAAAACATTATACAGTTAAATGATTACTTAATTAATTATAAATTTATAACATTACATTATAAACATTATTAATTTACTACATTAACCATTAGTAAATTACTTAATTAAATGGTTAAAAAATCTAATTAATTGTAACATTATATTATAAATTTATAGTATGATTTCTTAATTAATTAGAATATTACATTATAAATATTAGTACAATATTTAATTAAATAATTATAAATTTAATTAATTATAACATTATATTATAAATATATAGTATGATTATTTCATTAATTTTAACATTACATTATATTTGAATGATTTTGGTGAAGTTATTTAACGTCAACTGTGATGAATAATTATTTGTGTTTTAGTTTTGATTGAGGAATTTTATGTGAATTGTAATGAATTGATTGAATTCAAGTGTTGCTTGAAGATTAGAAGATTTATGAGTTACATTAGACATAAATGAATGAGTAATCAAAATTTGTTAGAGGTGTATTTGTAAACTTTTAAAATATTTTTATCATTTTTAAACTGATAGGAGGGTAATTAATTTTTTACAGGGTACCCAAGAAAGAAACTGGAACCTGCCTTTTAGGTTTAGTTCCTTGAATTTAAGAATCTACATTGTGCGGTTCCGGTTCCAATTCTACCAAAAAATACAAGGTACCCGGAACCCCTCATCCCTAACTGCCCAATCAAACTTTAGATAACACTGATCAATATCATATGTAGAGAAACATTTCAAACGGTTGCTGACTTGTGGAAGAGCTCAACTTGTCCTTTGTTGAGCACATTGTATAAATGATTTATTCACAGTATTCAAGCCAAGAGACGATAACAAGTTGAGGCGATTTATGATGATAAAACAGTATTAGTTACCTATGACACTTTTGAATTTTGCTACGCAGTCCAGTGCACGCTCAAATTCACTTTCTTCCAAAGCAATTGTGAATCGGCAGTAGCCAGGGATTCCAGTCCATGAACTGCTGTTGATGCATAAACCAGTTGCCTTGACTACGGCTTCCCTAATATTTGAACTGTCAAGCTTGATTTCTTCTGAGGTGGAATTTTCGTCCCTGCATCCATATTTAGGTGAACGCTTCATCTTTATGGTCTTGTTGAGATAGGCGGACGGTTTTGCCACCATTGAAATTCCACCACAAGATTGTAGCACATCCCACCCACACTTCCCAAGTGTCTGTGAAAATCAAATGAGAAAGTATTGAAGTAAATGCATTTCTCGTAAAATCCTCATGTATACTAGCACAATAATCAAACACAATTTTCACTTTTGCAAGTAGTATTCATAAAAGTCAGTGCGATGCGATGGTTGATGGGTTGACTAAAGTCAAACCAGATATCCAAAACAGTTATTACCCAGAAAGATAAAGGTGGCAATTGAAAATACCTCTTTCAAGCGCTTAGATCTGCTCTCCAAATTTCTTATTCGTTCTTTAACAGCATCCAGCAAATCTCCTGCTTTTCGTTCAGTCTGACCCAACAACTTCTTTATAGAATATTTGGCAGTGCTATGAGGTTTGCATAATCCTGGAAAGCTATTAAAGGCATCAACCAACTGAGGCTGGTTTAGAACCAAAAATCCGAATTTTAATGCTCCAGTTAGCATCCTCAGAGATAGTCCTCCAAGTAGAGACACACAGAAAGATGGGTTGCCAGAAAAATTCAGCTTTGACAAACAGCTTCCCAAGTCCCAGCCACCCCAGTACTCAACGTTGAATTCTAATCCGGAGAATGAAGTATCAATCACAACTCTTGCCCCAAATTTTGCACAAATAGTTAATATATTTTCCATTTCTTTGTTGCTGTAAAGCCAGCCAGTAGGGCTAATTGTTGGACCACAAAGGTAAAGCCAAGGCTTCTCTACAGTCTCAAGTGCTTTGGTGAGTGCCTTCTCTGTCAACTTAAAGCCTACTTCAGCTTCAGTAGGGATATTAACAATGTTTGCTTTCAAAAATTTGGCTGTAGAAACATAATTCCCGTTAGATCCAGTGGGGAAGCACAATGTTCCACCTTCTAGAATGCAGCATAAGACCAGCTTATTAAACAGAGCTTGAGAGCAGTCTGCATATATAAATTCTGAATAGCTATCAGTTGGGAACCCATAATTGCTCTTGATAAATTGTCTGATGCTGGGAGTGACATCAAGTTCTGACTCAGACATGTTTTGTCTTGCAAAACTTTCAAAGATAGCAGCTTTGACTGGGGAAGGTATGGGCAAGAAGCTTTGGTCTACATCCATGTGAATCAAAGAACACTTCGGTGTCTCATTGATTGACAATTCAGCACTGTTAAGCACTGAGATGGCTGAACTAGAAAATCCGATCATCTCCGCTGATTTGACCTTTTCACACTCCCTCTGAAAGGATTTAGCGAAAATAAAATTCATAAGCTTACTTCATGATCTGTGGAGTAGATCAAATAAATGCTTAATCATAACATGTAATAACATAATCAACAAATAAAAATAATCATCCTTATCAAGGATGAGTTAGCTACAAAGGAAATATTATTTAAATACTCAGATATTATTTATACACTGTTAGGATCCCACATTGAAAGGGAAAATGGTAGACATGTGGGTTATAAAAGCTTGGGCACCCTCCCTTGGCAAGCCGGTTTTCCAAGGAGAGTTCTACCCAAACCCATGAAAGACCCATGGCCCAGCCCAAATTGTTGAGTTATTGGAGTGGGTTCCTATCAATTGGTATCAGAGCATGATCCTGCGCCTATGTGGCAACGCACGCGTGGCAACGCACGCGTGGCAAGCTGACCTTGGGCCCGGGCTGCTACCCCGAGAAAGGGCATGGAGGCCCGAGGGAAAGGGGATCCGCGTAGTCACCCAGGGGTAAAGAGGCCGACGAGGGTAAAGAGGCCGACGTGGACGTCGGTTGCAGAAGCGTGGTGGAATGTTAGGATTCCACATTGAAGGGGAAAAGGGTAGGCATGTGGGTTATAAAGGCTTGGGCACCGTCCCTTGGCAAGCCGGTTTTCCAAGGAGAGTTCTACCCAAACCCATTAAAGACCCATGGCCCAACCCAAATTGTTGAGTTATTGGAGTGAGTTCCTATCATACACATCATAAGAATATGTTTCTTTAACAAAAAAGAAAGAGAAGGGGATAACAACCTCTGCACGTGGATGTCGATCAGTGAGCTGAAAAGCCAGAAGCTCATGGAAAATACAACCGTAATAGTATTGACTTATCAGTGCAGTATTCCCTTCTAGAACTTCCAGTGTCTTAGACAAGGCCTTACAGATAACCCCTTCTTCTGAAATGACAAAAGCCACTTCTAAATCTGAATAAACCTGGAAACAAGTGTCCATATACCGTTAAAAATGACTTCTCAGAACTAAAAAGCTGAAAGACAAATTATGAGAATGAATCTTGAAATTCATCTTACAGCTGCACAGCTGGATCAAACAAATATGAATCTTCCTCTTAAAATGAAGACAATTAAATACCTGATTTTTCAGAAGACCGCATACAATTGCAGCATGGGAAGGCAGAGAATTTCCTGCAAGATATTTTAGGACCCCAATGGAACTTGGGAGGCTGGACAGTTCAAAGTGATCAGAGATATCCAAGAAAAGACGAGATCCTGTTTCTCTTGTGACATCCAAGAGGTGCACAAAAGCTGAACTGGTAACAGCCTCAAAATTAGCAATTCCAGAAACTACCACCTGAGGCTTCAGCTTCTTTATAAGCTCCACCATCAAATCTGACTGAGGTGGTGCTTCAATTACTGTGAGTACATCTTCTGAAGGATTTTCAGTTTCTGTACCCTAAAAATAGGATATAAAGGTGGTCATATGGCAAGAATAGACAACATTCTGAAAACAAAAAGTAAGAGAAAAAGTCTCTGATCCATGATTCTAGCTAGGACCGACAATAGTACTAATAACAACAACTATAAGTTCTGAATGCATTAGAAATGTCACTATGGAAACTTCTCTACTCCATGACTCTACCCTGATAAAATCATAAATCATCTCTTACTTAAATAGATGAAGCTATCATCGATTCCAACACCCTTAAATGCCAACAATAAAGTCCAGTTTCCCAAGTAATTGTCATCAAAGTTTCAAACGCACATCTTGTATTATCTTATACCATCACTTTCTTGAAATGATGCAAGCTTTTGAACTATGAGAAAAGAAGATAGGATAAAAGCATCAGAGATTGGTCATACCTTAATTGTTAAACTTGTTAGCCATTGCCTGGGCAGGTGTCGAGTTAGATGTTCATCAACAATTGCAAGACGAGGTGAGAATAATCTGAGAGCACTCTCAATTGCCACAGCCCTTGATGGGAAGACAACAACATTCTGGAGTGGGAAGTGGAGAAGAAAAGTCAGAAAAATGAGGATCATTTCACTCATCTCGAACACGAAAGAAACACAAGTTAACAAAGCTTTTAACTCTGGCAGCATTCTCAAACTAAAACTTACAACCAAAGCGAACAATAGTAAGTATAAATTATAAACTTGCAGGTCCCCATGTATTCTACAGCATTCTCAAACAGCATAACACAATGCACATACAGTATAATCTACAGAAAAGACACATCTAACGGTCAACTTAGAGGAGACATAGCGCAAAAAGATATAAACAATCAGGTAGAATCACATTACAGTTTGTCCAACAAATATAAGAATGAACATCAACCAATATCCCTTATCAAATGTATATATTATACTCTCATTAATCAACTAATACATAGAGTTTCAATATGCTGAGGACTTCCATTATAGTTTCTCTGTTAGAGTAGAAGCCAAACAAGTCAAGTAATATGACAGACTAAGTTCACATGCAAAGACCTCAAAAGAATGCAATCATAAACAACCTAGTTGTAGGCTTAATAGCATCTAGAACAGAGAACAAAGACACAACCTGTCCAATGTGTATAAACAAGTATGCAAACAAAAAAATAAATAAATAAAAAATTCACATACAACATCTGTAGATAATCAACTAGTAGTGAACATTTTCTCACATCAGCACCAAGGGGAAAATGGTGGTATGTTTTCATGAAGTCTGCAATTAGATTACAAAATCGTCTGCTTCCAGCTGGTGGCTCATATGGGAAAAAAGAACGCTCTTTCAGAACACTGGCAAGATAAGCTAGGAACGGAATCTTCTCATCAGCAACAGAGTCATCATCAAAAGATAAATCTAAAGAGCTTCTGATCTCGTGGAAGCCATTCTTAAGAAACTCAAAAATTTTCTTAACCTGTCCATTCATTCAAGTCATCATCATTGAAGATCATTTTACCAAGTAAAACAACTTTTTACTTTATTCTTATACAAGCATAAATGAAGTGAAAACCTGGTTTGGTTGACGAAGTTGACAACTGTAAACTGACAAAGCATGAGAGATGCATCCACCAGCCTTTCCATAAGCCCAGGCTGTTCGAGCACAAATAGGCTGATCTCCAGAAAGCCCCATGAAGAACTCAAAACGATGTGGATTGCTCTTCTCAATTTCCACTAAGGCTGAGATATCTGTGTCAGCAGCCTGCAAAAACACATTTTAAGAGGACAGGATATTGGATAGAGAAATGATTACTGGAAAATATAATTCGGTTGCCTGAAGAATTTTAGTCTGCCAAAGCTTGTTCACACAGAAACCACGGCGTTCAAACAAGCGTTTACAAACAGCTTGTCCCGGACGACCTCCCATGTTGAAGATCATGATTCCCAAAGGTTTGATGACAGCTATTCCTTCCTCAACTGCCCTAGCAATCAGACCTAATCCAAACTGGTCCTCAACAAAACCCTACGAAGCAAGAAACAAATATAAAGATTTTAGTAGGAAATGAAACACAAATAGTGCATCAATCATTAATGTCTCAGTCGTCACTTGCATTGCTCAGTCTTTTTGAAAAGAGGAGGGTGAGCATCAGTAATCAAAGTGCTTTTAGCCTATCAAATAGGAGATATATTTTATAGTCATCAATACGGTTTAATACATATGCATAACATAATCATCATTATTGATTAAGAGGTTCTCCATGGCATCTCAGATGTTTATCAATAATGTAAAAAGAATCTCTTCCAACCTGAAGTGCACAATAGTTACTCAATGAATACAGAAATTCCTCGCTTGCATTTTCAGTGATCATCTTCGACATTGCATCTGGATTGGGGTTAAGAATCTGCATCAATAAAACAGAATGGGGCAAATAGGAGTCAAAATAATGATTGAGGACACGTTAACCGTCCAGCTTGATGCTGGATAGAATAACTTCAACAAAATAATACACTGGATAATGTCATAAGGGCTGCAGTTCATGATAATACCTGGGGTATGCATCCAACAATTCGATCAAGCTGAATGTCATGGTCTCTACAATAAGCTAGGAGATCAGATTCATGAAACTCCACCCTATCCAATAAAGTTTTCTTCTCTGCATCATAGATGGGCTGACCTTTCTCATCCAAAGCATTTAAGTACAAGCTTATCCAAGAGATCTTTATTGATCTGGGATTGATATCAAGGCCATATACCTGCAACAGGAACATTTAGACACCATAATGAACTGCTAAAAGGTTCTTTTTATCAACTGCTACATAGAAATCTTTAAAACTAAAACAGAGGTGAAATTCACCCACTCCTTTATGTATATTTTTCTAAATAGATATGATATGCAGTAAAACACCAAATTGTGGTGCTAATATATTTATACACACCAACAAGATCTTGAAGTCATAAATATCAAGATGACCTAGTAAAGGGATAAAACATGATCAAAGAACATCTAAATGTAGATGTAATCGTAATCTGTCATGTGGGATTAAGACAACAAATAACAAACCTTTGAAGGCAGCCACTTCTCAGCTATGGCAATGGTTATCCATCCATTTCCACAACCAAGCTCAGTTACTGTCTTGTCCTTGAAGATAGAGTCCGGATGTCTATTTAGTCCTTCATAAAAAGTAAATGACCAGTCTTCTGGGATAAAAATGCTAGGGATCACCATCGTTGTCAATTTTTTTCTTCCCTGGTAACCTGTACTTGGCAGAGAAGTGTGTCAAGAAGAAAATCCAACAACCATGATAAAACCTAACACAAGGAGTCAAGAGAAAAATGATCTGTGGATTTCGTGTTAGCCAAAGGAGATAATGCTTGATAAATCTAATCAATTGACACTAAAATTATGAACAAGTCAATAGGCTACCAGGGATAAAGTTGGACGTGGGGGGATTTTAATGGTTGTTAAACCTTTTACAAAGGACAACCATGATGTTGCAGATTAGCACAAGGCACACAGAACGTATAGGCAACCTCCCCTTTTAATGATTAAAGAAAGCTTAAGAAATGTTGGTTAATTGGTTGCGTATGTATGTGCAGAAAATTGACTATACAACCAGGTGAACTTAAAAATAATTTGAATCAAGATATAGGAGCAAAATTAGTGTTACTGTCTAAAGACAATCGATATGAGTATTTGAAGTTTGTTCAATCAACTTCAGTCATACAATGATACATATTTAAACATCCAAAATCATTAAAAGGTTACTCTTAGTAGAAAATGAAATTAAGTTGAACAAAGTTCAAGCATAGTGAATTAGATTAACAGGTAATCACAAATTACAAATATTACCCACAAAAGAAATTCACTCTACCTTATTTAAGCACATACATTTCAATTTTCATTAACCAGGATGGATTTCATTTTTAATTAACTTCGTATTATGTAAACAGTCCATATCCACTCTCCAGATTGTGCGAGTATGGCTTTGGCTTCAAATTTAAAAAATTAAATCAAGTGGGTTCAAAATTTAAAGTGACAGCGATCTGGTTCCGTTGGACAGTCCAAAAAACAGTGAAAAGAGAGGGATAAAAAAACAAAAAAGACTCTGAAAAAAAGCAAAATCTCATTCTGGGCACTCAGACTAAGAAGACGACAAAAAAACAACTAGAATAAGCTAAAACTTCGTTTTTCGTTTTCTTGAAAACTGTAGCACAGAAAAGGATGGGGCACGCAAGATTTCTTAGGCTTCCTCATTGGTTGCTCAGAATAACCACTAAAAGAATAAAAAAAACAAAAACTACACCGACCACAACCTTCTTTTGTTGACTAAAAACAAAAAAGATAATAAGAAATGTTCACCAGAAATGTCTCAAAAGATACAAAATATCACTAGAAAATTTCACATTATTTATGGTAACAATTAAATGCTGCACCTAACTAAAGCAAACTCTCTGAGATACTTGACCAGGTTCCTACCGCCGAGAGTTTCATACAATTTATAAAAAATTTCATAAAATTCCAGCAATGAAACGATGAAGATCACTGATTAATGAACATCCGCTAAATATCAATAAATTTCAAAATTTTGACCCATTAAAAAGTGAAATTTATGAATAAAGAGACTTCACATTCATCAAATAACTCTTAAAATATATAAATCATACAAAAAGATCTCAAACTAACTTAGTTTAAATCAAACAATTGCTTCCATCAAGTCAAAAAGTCACCCAAATCAACGACCAGCAAACAAACACTTCTTATTCACAAAACTAAGACCGTGAACAGTGTAAAATGGAGCGAACCTTCATACTGGTCCAAGACGATGTCTTGGATCCGAAAATGATACTTCTCGAGGCACTGGTCGGAGTCTCCGACACGTTTCTGAAGATCCGCGAGAAAGATCCGAGCCTGAGTCCGAGTACTGGGATCCTCCAAGCGCTCCAGAACTAACCGGAAGAGTCCGTACGCGGCGTCACCGGAGGTCTCGCATTTGCTCAGTAATTCCTCCACCGAACCGATCGCCTCCATGTTCTCTCCGGTGGGTATGCAAGCAAGGTACAGTGCGTACTTTTAGTGAGAGAAAGTATAGAGAGAGAGTGAGAAGTGAAAGAGAGAAGGAAGAGAATACACACTATACAGTGCGTACAAGCTTGACGCTTGTTGCTTTGTTTGTTTGTTTTGAGTTGTTTGGTCTTACGAGGGAGGGTATTTATGTAACTTCCAAACCGATAACAATTTTCATAAATTATTTTTATAACCTTAACGTGACAGTTTGTAAGAACCATATGAAATATGAAACATGTTGTGAATTGATCAATTACAAATTCTTATGTCAAAGTTATAAAAAAAGGTTTATGAGAAAGAATTATTGGTGTAATATTATTTTTCGTGTATAAACTAACTTGGATATTGCTTTCCAAGTGCATATTTTTATTGGTTTCTAAGAAGCGGAATTTTTTATTATATTTTCTTTTTAAAAATCAGAATAAATAAAAAAATATCATATATAAATCGTGACGTATTATATCATTTTCTATGGTAAGTTGAATTCGCTTATTAAACTAAAAATAAATTAATATTCAAATCATTTTACCGATGTGATATAAGATTTCTTTGATTAAAAATTCAATCATACAAGTGATAAGTTTGTAAATTTATTTATTATAATAACGATTGATTTTATGAAATATTTACATGAATTAATTTTACCATTTCACTTAATTATGTGACAAAAAAAAAAATCAGTTATATCTTTGCTCCGAAATCACTTAAAAATTATATAAAATAATTATTATATAATTTCATCACGTTAGTAAAGCGAAGTAATGAGTCTCACTCTTATAAATATTTTGCAAAAAAGTGGAAAAATAAACGAGAGAATCTCACGATCATAGTCAATAATAAAAAAATATATCAGATAAAATAAAAAGTATTTTATTTATTTATTTATTTTATTTCGTGTTAGGTGAGAAAAAGCTTCTTTGACTACTATTATTTTATTGAGGGTAAACCATTGTAGCAGTTTTGAGAGGTTTTTAATAGCGGTTTTTAAAACACCCAACCTATGCTTGGGAGTTTATTTTCCAAATGTTCTAACAGTTTTTTTAAATGATAAATTTACATAAATACCTATAAAGTTAAAACACCCTCTCTTTTGTTTAATTAACTTTGATAAATATGGATATTTGTGTTGGCTAACCACCGTAGGTATTTGTGTCAGGCTGATTCACTTGCAATGTGTTCTTCCATGACAGTGGTATTTCTCTTAATTCTAGCAATGGTTGGTGATCCTGCCTTCTTGCACTCAGCAATTTTTTATAGCAAGAACTTGCTGAATATCGCCCTTTTCCGAACGTTGGTCGAGTTTATAACTGGATTGTACACTGTAATATCACCGAAGAGTGAATGGTTAGCCATCATTGTCGTCGTGATAGGCTCCAGTGTTCCATTTCTCATGAAATTTTTGCACTAGAAGTCTTCCACTTCAAACCTTCTTGTTATAAAATATCTCAAGGGAACAATGAAGAAACCCGTAATCACCTACAGCCCTGGAAGAAGGCGTTCAAATCTTAGTTATGGATACAGTCAAGCCAAATCACCTCACTGATACCAATCTATTTGATATAATAATTCTGTTTTCTTGTTTTACTGTCATGCACCCTTCTCTAATCTTTCTTTTAGGATCTTGTTTTAATAAGTTTTATTAGTTATATATTTGTAAAATATAATTTAGATTATAACATGATTGCTAATTTATTTTCTTGTGAATTAGCGATTGCAAAGGGATTTGTGTGCAGCAGCAAAAGATTTGTGTGCAGCAAAGGGAGTGAAAAGGGTTTTTTTTTTAGATTAAATTTATAAACCAGTCAAAACACCCGATTTGGGGTGTTTTGTAAACCCCTCAAAAATACACTACACTGGGTTTTTAAACCAGTCAAAACTAGCCCATTAAAAATCTGACAAGTGAGGGTTTTTAAACATCTCAAAACCAGTCCAATTAAAAACCCCCCAAAACCAGTGAAAAAAAAACTCTCAAACAGACCCTAAGTGGCAACAAGGCCGATGAGTACATGTTTGACAAAGATTCTAAAGTGTCCTTATTTATATTTTATATTTAAGTAAACATAAGGGTTAGTGCTTTTGAAAAGAATTATTTAAAAAATAAATAATAAAAATTTAAAGCCTTCATTAATTTATTATGATATTATTAAAAAATCCACCCACCAAACCCCACTCCCGTTGACCCTACCAATCTTTGGCAATCACACGATTATGGTTTACGCAGTTGTCCCTCTCAAGTCAAATTCTTATCAATCCCAACTACTAAAGTTCAATCTTTCACCACTAAAAGATTAATCGACATTCCCTCTTCGAAAGCCCGAACAATCTGAATCAAGTTTGATTTTTGTTCACTACTAAAATATAAATTTGGTTAATAAAATGATATTTTAAGAGTTTATAGATGAAAAAGTGTTATTAAACCATTATTTAGGTGGAAAAAATTCGATAACTCAATTATTATATGTATGAAACATGTGCATTCTTTTAAATAATTCAAGTCTCATATTTAAAAAGGGTTAATGACATTAATTCCTTTGAGCTTATATAAATTACCAAAAATTCTCTTTAAATTTCAGAAATTACATAAATTTCCTTGCCATTAAGTTTTAAATGTTAAAATAAACAATAGAAGACAATTTGATAATATTTACAAATTCATAATAACGTAAATTTTAAAAACTCAATATTATTTTCTTAAGAATAATGAGATTTTTATTATTTTATAAACCTCTGGAAAACTTTTGTTATTTTATCAAACCTAAATATCTTTAACCCTATTAATCATTACAAGTGAGTAGTTAATATATTCATTTCTTTATAAAATTCATTTCTTTATAAATTAAGAAATAAGCTAATACAAATATTTTGACACCTGAAAGGAGGAAGATTCAAATCTAGAGATATTATTTTCATTGGTTAAATATATTATATTATAATTGAAAGAGATTATAAAAACTCAATTGGATCAAGTCAACTCTTATGTTATCAACAAATCATCATTTTCATGGCACTAATAATTAGAGAAAAAAGGCACATTGGACCACACTCTACTATAAGAAAGATCCATGTGTGTTGATTTAAATAACATAACACTCCCCTTTATATATATATATAATCTGTTTGGTTAATGACTAAATTTCTTTAAAATTCAAAGCTCAAATATAATTTGCAAGATTTTTTTCTAATGACAAGAACAAAAAAAATTTCTCACATGAGAACGTCATAGTAAATAAAATAATGTCTTTTATTATATTCTTGCCATCAGGAATGAATATCCATATTTAAAATAAATAAAGCCCTTCAGAGACTATATATATATTACGAGTTAGAATTATTTATAAAATATTAACTTAAAAATAGTTGTCAACTTGGACAACTTGTTTCTATCTTTTTCTTTTTGTCCACTTAAAGTAAAGCATAGGAGACTTAAGAGGAGCCAAGCAAGGATGCTCAACTTTTATTAATTGCTTGTCATGGTGATATGTTGAATCCTATTCAACTACAAAATTTTAAGTCCTTATTTGTGTGGATGCTATCACCTTTCCTTTTCCTATCCATAATTGGTTTAGACTTCACCATATTTGGCCTTCTATCTCTTGATCCTTTCTATCATTTATTTCACATGCTTTAATAGTTTCGTATATTTTTTTCAGAGATGGCAAATGGATCGCTTTGAACTCCGAAATGGATCACTTTAGAACCCGTATCCACCTGTAACATGATTCGGGTTTTTTTTCCATCTTCGAACCTGTTTTATTAAATGAAGGTAATTTGGATTTTGGAGCTCCAAACATGGGTTAAATTGTCATTTAATGTTAATGACCTAACTAATATAGGTGAAATATGCCTCAATTATACATACATACATACATACATACATACATACATACATACATATATGTGTGTGTGTGTGTGTGTGTGTGTGTGTGTTAGAGTAGGTGCACTAGAGCCAATGATTCAGCTCTTGTAAACTCATTTCGAATCAATGAATAAAAGGCATCGCTTATTTATGAGCGCACACACACACACACACACATGTGTGTGTGTGTGTGTGTGTGTGTGTGTGTGTTAGAGCCAATGATTTAGCTCTCGTAAACTCATTTCAAATCGATGAATAAAAGGCATTGCTTATTTATGAGCATATACTGTAGCATCTATTTACTATGCATAAATAAAATAGTATATATCCTTAGATTGGAACCAGTGACGAGATAATTAAGTGTTATAAATCTTAATTGTGAGAACCATATGGGCACAAGATGACCCTTCTTAAACTTTCCGTAGTCATAGTATAAATTTGATCAAGGAAACAGATTATACGGAGAGACTATCATCGCGTTGAACGACCCTATCGAAAGGTAGTGACATATCTCACATGTCAAGGTTGTGGGCATTAACCTGGTGCAACGCATGGGTGTTTGCTTTTGCAAGTACACTAGATTGATTCATCAGAGGATTCCACATGAGATGGTAAACCCAATGTATGTGGAATATATCCTCTTACAGATGGTGGTACATGTAGTCCTTCGACTTGAGATCACTAGAGTGCCGTGTGAAAAAAAAGAAAGAAGCAATACAAAGAGATTAGACTCTTGGATTGTAACGCCCACATAGAGGTACGTAATTTAATTTATGCTCTTATACCCTCAGTTGATTTTTTGCAAAGGTTATTTTAAGGAAAATGTGAAGAAAATGCCTTAAACTTGCATTAAGGGTAAAATGGTATTTTCACTCAAAATTAGTTGAAAAAGTGGGGAGTGAAAAGAGATAGAATTTCATAGAGAATGCAATAAAAATGAGGGCATTATGGTAATTGATTAAAGGACATAGATGGAATTTTAAAGAAAGTGCAAGGGCAAAATGGGAAACTAATATATATTTTTATGTTATATCAAATTGAAGAGTGAAACCCTAGCCACTCTTACCTATTTTCACGCCACTTTCACCTCCATATTCTCTCAAATTCT